CCCCCCCCTCCCTCTTGCTCTCTCCCTCTCCCCTCCTTCCACCTAGGGCTCACAGGCCCTCACCAGTGTACCTCCTTCCCTGTGGCAGAGGCTGAGGGTGCCCCTGGCCTCTGGTTAATGAGCTGCTTCCCGGGCCCTCATCCCCACCTGACTTATTACTACAAATTACGTCTCAGTGTGTATCAAAGCCCTTTCACCTCCTGAGGGCCAGTGTGGCAGATGAGGAAACTTAAGCGTAGAGAAGTGGAAGGAGGAATGTGTCTGGAAGGTGGTTACCCTAGTCCAGGGAGGACCTTCGGCCTTCAGCCTCCTGAGGGTTTCATGTCACTGTTTGCAGAAACTCAGCTCAGTTGGGAGGAGGGTGGCACAGGCTCCCTAACTGGACGTCAGCCCCCTTCTGAACTAACACCTCCACACAACCACTGCACCCCTCCCCTTGAGGTCACCGCCCTCTGTGTGGATTTGAAGTCTACACTCTAGACAGAGCTAGCATCTAGCCGTGGTTTCATTGTACAGCCATTGGCAGGTCCCTTGATCTCTCTGCGCCTCAATCTTCTCATCTGTAGAAAGAAGTGGAATCTTCCTCCTGCAAAATTCAGGCCCATTTATGCACCAATTGCAAAATTCACTGCAGAACTAAGACCAAGATGCTGAGCTCCAAAAGCCACTGGGAAAAATGAGATCAGGAGAAGAGGTAAGTGCAAGTCCTATCATGAGCTGTTAGTCTATCTAGGAGCAGGCGACATGCACCCTTCACATGTGCTCACCTGGACACAAATGCTCAGTAACAGGGCCATATTGGGGCTTGGAGCAAAAGGAGAAAAATCAGTATTAATATGACTATACAATTGTAATATTACTATATTGAGGTTCCTGAGTTTTTTGGCCCCTCCTTACTTCTTGTGCTCGAGGAGAATGCCTACTCGTGTCACCCTAGTCCTGGCCCTGCTCACAACCCTCCTCCCAGGCTGGTCTCCATCTCTTCCATCGTGGGGAACCCACGGCTGCCCCTGCCCCTCCTCCTGGGCTCCTCCCTGCTCGTCCTCTGTAGACCTCAACACCTTTTCCCATCCGTAGAACCCAACTGCCATCTTTCCCAGAGCCAGCCTTCTGTGCTCACCTGCCAGGACCGTCCTCTCCTGCCCCTCCCTTCAGCACCCACCCCCACTGGCACCAACTCCTGCCCCCTCAGGAACCCATGATGAAGCAGGTTCTGCTGGCTCCTCTCACGCCCTACACTTCCAAGTGAAATGGAGCAGACTCGCTCCTTGGCAGAGCTTGGTCCCCTGCCTCCTGCAAGAAGCCCCCCTAGGGCTCACAGGATCACACTCAGTGGCTGCTTGAGCCCTTAGCTCAGTCTTTGCTCACTCTGCTCCCTCACTGGCACATTCCTCTGGTCTGGCTGCTTTCATAGGACCAATCTCTAGGTTCCCAGTGGTGTGCAGCCCCACACCCCCATCCTACGCTCAGCACACGAGGGTCCCCAAATCACCCTGGGGTCAGCTAACCCAGTTGCGGGCCTCAACAGTGATTAGCACAAATGTATTCATCTCTCTGGCCCTGAGAAACTTCCAACACTTCATTAACCAGTAATTAAATTCCAGTCTCCAGAGAGGCGGAGAAACATCTTTACCCTGATAATTCATTGCAAACACAGAAGTAGAGAAAGGAGGAAGCCACCAGGCCAGCTGGTGGGACCTGCCAGCTAAGTGGAAAGCGGCATCCCCGTGACAAAGCTGTACTGCTCATTCAGCAGTCAGAGGGACCCAGGCTCGGCCCTGTCCCCAGAGATGAGCAGCCTGGCTGTTGTGGCCAGAGGCCCCTTCTAGAAGGGAACTGAATCCTGCCCCTGCCTTCAGCTTCTCACCCTCCCCTGCCCATTTCACCTCCCAACATGCACGCGCGCGCGCGCACCCATGAGGAATGCACCAAATCAGACTCAGCTCAGCCACATGCAAATTAAAGAAACTGGAAACACCCTCTTGGAAAATAGCAGCCCTTCTGCCCCATGTTCCACCATTATTCATCTATCTTTAAACCTCTATTCATGCTTCTCCCTTCTGGCTGCCCCTTGAAGGCACATCATGTTCTGCTTCCATCTAACAACTTGGCACACTGGCCCGCCTGTGTCTGCATACCCTTGCCTGTGTAGCTTTTGCCCCCATCCTGCTCCCTACGAACCCCATATCTAGTGAACTCTGCATTTTTCAGAAACCAGGCCCAGGGCACCTTCCCAATCTTCCAAAGCAAAGCTACCCAGTTTCCTCTTCAGTGTGTCCCTAGTCCCCACAGTGCCCTATATGTGCACTGGCCCCTGTGCTCAGGAGTCACATTTGAAGGCAGAACTAGTCCCAGTTCAGTACCAAGCACCCACGACCCAGGGCTCTAATTAGATGCCACTTATACAGGCCAGAAGTTCTGTTCTCTCATTTTAATGTCCTAGGTCCACAGAAGAGCAAAGCAAGTCTAGATGCCTCATAAAACCAAACCCAAAGGCCACAGGGTGACGGGTTCATTTGTCCCTGGCTGCCTGTACCTGAAAGCTTACGTCGTCTTCTCAGATATGCTGGTTCACAGAGCCAGTTTCTATCCACAGAGGATCTGTGTTGCATTATGCAAAGGAAAATGCTTCTTAAAATTCTCAAACCACACTTTTCTCCCCGGAAATGTTGGTTGTAGCAAAATCTTTGCTTGGGCCCCCCTCTTTCTCTGAAGAAGGTTTATAAAGGCTTCTGGTTATTGAATTTCACTTCCAGAAAAGTCCAGAATTTTCCTGTGTGTTTCTTCCCTCTGCCTGCTGATTTCCTCTTCGGCCTTCACTACAGTTTTCTATCTCCATAAACAGGTGTTATGGTTTGGGTCTAGATGTTTCCCCAAAGCCTCCTGTGGTCATAGGCTGGATCTAGAGTGTGTCAAACTGGAATTGATTCAAGGGCACTAGGATTAAGGGTGTGAGTGCTGCCCACCCTCAGTAGTCTGAATAAGATAAAAAGGGCTGTTAACTCACTCGTTACCTTTGCTGCCTTGTTGTTACCTGTGTCTGCCATGTTGTTTCTGCTCTGCCAGGCCTGTTTGTCGTCCCTGCCTTGGAGTTGGCTGATTACGGACTGAAACCTCGATGAACTGTAAGCCAAATAAAGCCCCTTCCCCTCTAACTTTGGGTGTCTGGTATTTTGTCTCAGCAATGAGAGAGAAGTAACGAACGCAATAGGCAACTACTGCACCTACTAGAACGTGTCCCCACAGTTCCAAGGATATGGTTTGCTTCCTCTTAAAACAGAGGACTCAATCTGGAGTTCACAAAAGCACAGGGGGAGGCAGGGTGTGGGAACTTTCTGAATTAAATGCAGATATCTGTAATAAAACCATTTTTTCTGGACAGCGTTCATCACTTTCGTTCGTCAACAAGGTCTAGTACCCAAAGAAAGAGAGAACTATGGCCAGAATGCATGGTGAATGGGTCACATTAGAGGTCCTGGTCTCCATCAAACAGAAATCTTTTAAATTAAATCAAAGTGCTTTGGGTCTAAGAACACTACCTCCTTGGACTCCCTCCGTTGGCTTCCCCACTCTATGGGTCACCTCTTCAGTACTGTTTTTGACAAACCGATTCTCAGGAATTCATGAGATTTGCCATTTTCCAACTAGTGAGGGCACCCCAAAGGCACGGAAGAGGTGAAGCCCGTAGAGCACTAGCTTCACTCAGTAGCTAACGCCCCACTTCTATACTCCAACCCGGCAGCCCCCAGGTCTCAAATCGAACTTCTTACAAATCTCTCCAAACCCCGAAGTTTAAATCTGAGGACAAAGTTTTGCTGCAGCTCAATGACAGCCTCATCTCCAATGATTGTCCAAAGGTGCGGCAGGTCCTGGCCCAGGCACAGCACTGCATGGTAGAAAGCAGTCAGGGCAGGCCCCAAGTTCCCCGTTTGCAGCTGGGCTAGTTGAGGTGCCCGGGGTCCAAGAGCAGTGGAGTAGAGACTGGGCCCGTGTCTGCCCTGGGAGTGGGTGGATGAAGTGCGGGGAGTTGGTGCCTCTAGCGTGGCAAAGCACAGACAGGAAGAATTCACAGAAGAGCGGGGAACTGCGAGGAGCCTGTGGATGGGAGAATGGGAGGGCTGGAGCCTGACAGCTGAGGGCAGAATGAAGCTGCCATCCCAGTTCCCAGTGTACTCTGGCGTAAAGGTTAATCACACCCAGAAAATGCTCATTAGAGACCATAAATAACTGCATTGCTAAAGCTCGGTTTGGTCTTTAAGGTACAAAAGGGCAATTTCTTTTGTTGGGATGATAACAGCCATTGACCTTTTGCAGAAGGACCTAAAGGGCTTAAAGGGCTACCCCTATGTCTCCAAAGCTCCCCAGGAATAGGAGAGGGGCCACCTTCCTTCCCCTTTCCCATGCTCAGCTGGGGAGAACCCGGAACTCTCAGGGCAGCACTGAGCTGATCTGATAGCCATAGGCACAATCCTAGAGTGAACCCCAATTTTTCACCCTCCTGCTGAGCTCTAAGCCCAGTCCTACCGCAGATTGCCGTGACTTTGGGTTAGCCACCTGGCCCTTGGGGTGCCACCTCCGCCTCTTTTAAAAATCCCAGATTTAGTGAATTCTCTAGCCCCCTTGCTGTACCAGGATTCTACATTCTAGGAGTCCAGGGCTGGTGAATGTGGTGGCACAGGCCTGTATTCCTGATGCTCTGAGAGGCTGAGGCAGGAGCTTCAAAATTTTGAGCAGCCTGGGCAATTTAGCAACTTAATGAGACTGTCTCAGAAACAAAGAAACAAATGAACAAACTAACTAAATAACAAGGACTGAGGATATACCTCATCTGGAAGGCACTGGGTTCAATACTAGTACTGCAACAACAACAAGAAGAAGAAAGAATCTGGGGCTAAGTACCTAACTGGACAAAAAGAGAAACTCAGAGAAGGATGAGGACAACATGCACAGTCACACAAAGTCACACACACAGAGGATGATAGCAGGACACGGTGAACAAAACCAAGCGCAGGGTGCCTGTGGATGTTCAGGCAGGGTCTGCAGTGGGCTTCCAGATGGAGGTGAGCCAGAGGACGGGCGGCGTAGATGCGGACAGCCAGGAAGAGAGAGAAGCCGCTCAGTCAAGGGAATGGGGCTCCTGAGTGTGTGGGTGCGGCTGGCCACAGTGTATGTGGAGGGAGGCATCTCAGATGCCAGGCTGAGATGAACCAGAGGCCTGGAGTGCCGCGGTGGCCTCCTGAGCGGCACAGTGTCAGGCCTGTCAACCCCATCACTTGCTGGTGTGAAAACTGAGGCCTGAAAGGGAAATTTGAGTCCCTGCTCTGTGAGGCAGCTCTGTAGGTCAAAGATAAAGCTGGGCCTTGTTACATTCCATGGCCTAGGAGACCGCGGGCACCCTGACTTGGGGCCAAGAGAGGCCCCTGACTCCCCAGTGTAACCACAGTTCCGGTCCTCCCTAGGATGCCCCTCCACCCACAAAGCTCCCCTAACCCACATCTGCTTTGCTTTGCTCTGCAGTCAGGAGTAGCCTGTCCGCAACAAAGCCAAGGGAAGCAAATCTAAATGGGAAAGACAGAAGGAGTCACAAATCACAATTTATTGACAAAGTTGGCTCCTGCTGTGTTTAAAACTAGGATCCAGTTTGCAGGAGTAAAATATATATGCAACAACTCCTTAAACATTGTCTATACCACTGTAGTCATGGGGCTACAGGGCAGGGCCACGTGCAGTCTCAGGACCGCTGCACAGCAAGGGCTGCCAGGCAGAGCAGTTGGTCAAGGCTAGGATTCCAAGCAGTGCCCCGC